GAATAGAATACAAAATAGGGCTGGGAATGTGGCTCAGTGGTTGAGTGCCTCTGAGTTCAAACCCTGGTACCAAAAGAAAAAGAAAAATGTGAACCTTACAGTTGGAGTGTGCAGTTCCTTTCTATACTACCCTCCCCCAAGCCCCACACCCGCTCCCATGTTTTCTTTTATGGTTAGAAGTCAGCAGCTACAAAGTTTAGGGTCTTCAAAAACACACCAGACACCATGCTGGATAAGGCTGTGCTTTATTACATGCATAATTACAAATATGTGCTAAGTGAAAATGTATAAAGCAATGGCGACCTGGATTTAAGCCACACAGAGAAAGGGCTGGATGATCCCATCAACCCTTCTGCCAATGTCCATTCCATTGCCATTAACATGATTGTTTCCATTTCTTACAATTTGCATAGCACTTACTTGTCAAAGTACTTTCAATTCATTGTCTCAGTTTATCCTCACAACAACCCTGTGAGGTAGGTAGGGCAATTAACACTATCCCCATTTTGCAGATGGGAACACTGAGGCACAGAGCGGTTAAGATCTTGAGGCTAGTTAGTAGAAGCATAGGGAATAAAAACCAGGTCTCCGAACTCCCCAGTCATATCTTCCTTTTTACACTATGTCACTATGTACGACCAGGGAGCAGGACAAATTGAGCAGTGAGCCACAGCTTTGGTTCAGGCTGTGTGTCCGAATAAGCAAGTGAGGATAAAGCTAAGAAAGCAAGGCTACAGGGTTGGCAACACTCAAATGACTGTTCTGAACAGCTCAGCACCAAGCTTCCCCTGGCAACAGGCTCCATAGGCTTTGGTTGAAGCTAGCTTCGGGATGCCAAGTTAGTGCTGATGTCTATACATTAGCTTCATCTGAACTTTGACCAACACTCAGGAATTACAATTTCCAGACAGGTTTTCTTTGGCTACTTCACTTGGAGCCAGCACTACAAATGAGCTTATTACAGAGATATTCACATAGTGGCCCGTGGGCTGGAACCCAGCCCTTCTGACCCTCCTGGCCTTAGTGGCTCACCCAATGGCTGGTATACTTCCCATAGCCAGAAATGAATGGGCAGAGGTATGAGCAGGAGGCTGGTCTTGGTCAAATGAAGAAGATTCACCATCAAGACATTGTTGTCACCCTTAGGTGACATGACCAAGATGCTGTCAGGCCCATTGCCTTTCTGGCCTGTACCTGGTTAGCAGCATAGCTTCTAAAGATAGTTTAAGAGAACAAAATATTAAACATATTTTATCATGAATGGAATAAATTCATAATCATTATACAGTCCCAATGGACCAAATACATAATAAAAAAGTAAATACTTATATAAAAAGCTGAGTAGTAAAAAGGCAGGCTGATGGGGGAAGAAAGGAGTACGAAGAGGGGACAACATGAAATGGAAGAGGGAAAAGGCGCATTCTCGAAGGATCATGTAATCTGAGGTACCCTCAATATGATAGTGAGGCTGAATATTCCCACCCTAGAAAAATCATCACAGGCCCTGCCTTCTTCCCCATTTTGCCAGTTGGCATTTCCCTCACCAAATCCTAGACTGTCCATGAACTCCAACAGATGTAGACTAGTAGAAATAATGAGGTTTAGCAGTGAATACTTCATAGGTCTGCCTGGAGGTGCTAAAGCCCTCAGCCTTCCCAAGGAGTGTCTGTGGCTTTAGCCCCAATGGAGCAAAGTGCCCTCGGCCCCATCAACTTAGGAGGACCTTCCATGTTCTGTTCTTAGAATCATCCTTTCTCTCCCTTCCAATGCCCACATTCAAAACAATTTACTTGTCAAAATGGATAGAAATTTGAATTCAAGGCATGGTGGAGGGACAGACAGGAGAGAGAAAAGGAAGGAGAGGGAGAGAGGCAGGGATTGTTTTTTGTAAACTCTCATTTTTCTATCATCACATACCATTTCTCCTCAAAAAGCCAAACTCTAGGCAAAGCATTCATTCAATGAGTGTCACACAGACGCTGGAGGCCTTTGGTAGGAACTTAGAGGTAGGAATCTATGACTGTAAGATTGGGTTGGGTGATCTGATAGGTCCCATCATGGAAAAGCAAACTCTGCACATTCCTTCCTTCCTTCCTTCCTTCCTTCCTTCCTTCCTTCCTTCCTTCCTTTCTTTCTTGGGTGATTTGGCAAAATCAGATTACACCGTGGAAAAGCTACTTCCGTTGACTGTATCTCTTCAAAACTTTGCCCAGATCCAGATGTTTAGAAATGAGAATGTAGCCAGCAAATGCTGGGGGTGTAACTTCAAGTTGCTAACACCCACCCACTTTTCCCAGAACGTCTCTCCTTAGAGCAAACAACTGAAACTGAAGCAGAGCAAATTCCAGCCATCACTCAAGGTCCCTTGCACTGACTGAACTTCAAATTTACACAGCTCCTGAGCTTTCATCTGAGGAACTCTCATCTATTTCTTTTCAATATATATAATACACAGAGAGTAGGGAGCTAAAATATAAATGTAAAGAAAGTTTATCACTGAGATGGTGCAAATGTCCTGGAGAGGCCTCTCTGAAGGTAGGCCCTTGAGCCAAAATGACTTTGAACCTCTAGTTTGCTTAGAAAGCACAGCTTCAGGGGCTTGCTTGACTTTGTATCTCCATGAAGTACATGATCAAGCACTTTCTGTTTATCCCAATGCCAGGATGCATGGCATGGGTTATGGGAATGCCTTTTTTCTACCTTCTTACATAGTTCATATACTTTCTCACCCAGACTTTTCTATTGTCCTCACTTTCAAATCCTTCCCCAAAAGAAATCCAGGTAATCTCAGAGGTGGTTTTAAAAAAATAATGTTTTAGAACACTTTAATTTGGCTCACATAGTTAGAGTATTTTTTCTGGGGAGGGAGGTGTACTGAAGGTTGAACCTGAGGCCTTACACATGCTAGAGAAGCACTCTATTACTGAGCCATATCCCCGGCTCTTTTTAAAATTTCTTTTGTCTCGGGGTCTGGCTAAGTTGTCCTAGCCAGCCTTGAAGTTGTGATTCTCTGGCCTTAGCCTCCCAAGAGAAATTTGTTTCTTTTTTTAAAAAAGGATTCTCACTCTTCCTGTAAAGGATTTACATTTAGCCTTGGGTGTCAAAGCAATTTGTTTTGAAGTTCAACCAGAAAATTAATCATTTCCTCTACCAGCTTGCAAATTCAAAGTATAGTCAATGTCAGATAATCCACCAGATTTGTGGATCATATCATCTCTGCTCTATAGCAGGGCTAAGCCAGGATGCTGGGGCCAGAGAAAGAGGAGAGCATTGCAACTCGTTTCTAATTAAACAACAAAAGAGAAATAATCTTTACCATAGCCATTATTTTGTATAATCAGTCCCCTACTTCTCGTCTTTGGTTTAACTTCTCATGCACTAATTTTTTTTCAGCTTCCTTAAATTATTTAAATTGGAGAGCTGAAGATACAAAATATAGCAATTAGGTTTTTACAAATCTATGAACTCTCACTCCTTTCATGGCTGGATGGCTACCAGACATCTTTCCCTGGAAAATCCGAACTCAGCTGAAGCACTTACTAGTATTCCTTTGTAAAATCTTCCCTTGTAGCAGGTGATTTTCTAATCCCAAATAGACTAGCCTCAATTCATTCATTTTAAAAATTACAAATAATCTAGTCTTTTGCCACTGAGGTGACCACCTGAGGCTACTGACAGACCTCCATATACTGGCTTTGTTTTTCTGGTTAAGTATGTCTAACTGCTGAAATGGCATCGTCAGGAAGAACATTTTCCTTTACCTCAAGACAAGAAACTCTTGAGTGTCATGGTGCTGAGCTAGTAGTTTTGTATAGCTCTTTAGCCACAATTAGCCAAACTTTGAGCCAAACCCTAGGATTGGACATATACTGGACACCATGCACTATAGCTACTTCTAGAGTATGAGCTACAAGGATTCCTGAGAAACTGAGGTTAATGAATGAGATTTATCAGGAATGAGGTATCAAAGGGACATTGTCATTCTCTGGAGGGCCAATCGGTGCTTAGCATCTAAAGTATACCTTGGCACAGTGTTATCTGATTTCTTGAATTTATTCTCTGAATTAGCACCTTAACACTGGCTCATCTATCTAAAATGAAGAACAGAGCATAGAAGAAACAAAGGCAAACAAGACACCCTCCATGTCACTGCTCCATGTTAAAATACGACCAAACCTCCCCTTGCCACCAAACACCAGAAATAGTCATGTTTCCCATTTTGCAAACTTTAGTGGGCAACAACAGCTAATGAGACACATATTCAACCAGAAATATACACATAAGAACTTTGTTTTCTACACAATATACAGGGTGGTCAGGCAAAGAGACATCTCACAGGAAAGAATCAGTGGCATGGAAGGGACCAAAGGACATAAAGCTATCGAGCCATGACTATGATAACAATGTACCCTGGAGCATGTTTTTTTTTTTCTTTTTCATTAAAATGCTAGAGTGATATACTTAAAAGGATAAACTCTGGTGGTTGCCTTTATATTTTTAAAGATAAAAATCAGAACAAGCCTTGGCTACATAGCTCTGAGCATTAAAAGAATTTCAGATCTTGGAAAGATAAGAAGTAGGGGTAAAAAGTCCTAGACTCAGGAATCAACAAGTTTTAAAATGAGGTACACTGAGGTGATTGGGGATTGGGTCTAGGGGAATGTGCTGAGTGATTGCTGATTCTGGGCTAGAAGGATGGGAGGAAGTGCAGTCTCACTGCCATGGGCATCTGGTGCAGAAACAGAAACATGGTGGCAGCAACTGGGCCACATGGCAAAGAAAAGGGCTGTGTATCGCCTCTAGTCCATGTGTCATATGATTGCTGAGCCTTGGTTTACCATTTACCTAGCCCTAGAAGTTATTATTTGTTATTAGGAATGATTGACCAGCCACAGTGCTTGACCCCAAAGGGAGGATTCAGTACTGAAGAGTAAGAAGGGGAACAGAATGGAAAGGGAGTAATTGCACATGGGTAAAACTATATAGAAAAAGAAATAGTGGTTGGAATGATGGTGGTGGTTCTTTAATTCCACCAGGTGTCCCTATAGTGTAAATTGTTTAAAACTGTTCTAAGTGTGGTAGGAAATTGAGACAGGCACCTTTTCAATTGGATACAAGCACCTTTGGTGTCACCAGGTCTTGTCCACACCCCCGGGTCTTAGGATGGATTTGCCTTTTGGAATTTTAAGGACCCCCAAGGGAGTCACAGTTGCCCATTCTGTTCCAAAGCTTTGAATATATTTGAAAGTATCCCAAGCCTAATCCATGCTCATGGGGACAGCTGGCCTGTTATGAGTACTTCACACTGGGAGGAGCATGAGTGTTAGTTATTTCAATCCTGGTGGTCTTTACAAAGGAATGCATGAGGATGTTGACGCAGCTCTGAATCTTCCCTGGTTTACCAGTATGCAGTCCAGACTTAGTTCCCTTTACTGTTCTTACATATTCCAGAAGCCTAAAGCACCATCATTCGTGGAGGTGGCATCTGGTAAGAGTTTCACTTAGGACCTCACAAAAATGTGAAATTCCTAGTCTTTGACTTTGCTTAGAACTTTACTCATCATTCATTTCAAGGAAGCTGGAAGAAATCATTCGTTGCTACAAATTCATGGCAAAGTCCTTGTCTACTAGCTAACAGATACCATCTGGAAAATTACCATTTTTTTTTTTTTTTTTTGCAGACAAGGAGAAAGCTCTATAACTTATCTTTGTGCACTTCAAAAGAGTACCAGGAACAAGCAAGCTATAAAAGTCAACCTCTCTCAATTCATTTAGAGGAGATTAACTAAAGCAGCATTGTCTTATAATCAGAAATTAAAATTAACATACATAAACATAGAACAAACTAATAATGCTAAATATTGTAACAGGAACAAGAATAACATTTGAACTGAATCTTCACAGTCTAGAGAATACCATTACTATTTTCCTTCTGGCTTTCCTTTCGGTGGTTTGAAAAGCAAAGCCCCTTAGTTTACACTTCATCTTCCACCAATGACAGTTAGATCCACCAAAAGTAACTTTTTCATGAGTTTCCTGCAGGCTATAGGTCAGGACGGTTGGAATTTTTCTTGCATAGTTTTCAGTGATTGCATATTGGCTAACGATTACTTTTAAATTAAAAAAATATTTAAAAAAAAAAACAAATATAATTAAACCACAGCAATCTTGTTTACTCTTTCATGAGATCTTCCTAATGCAGTATCACAGAAGCCTAACTGTATTTTCTCCTAAAGAGAAGATTAATTTCCAGAGATTATGTAGTGCAACTGGTTAACTTGTAGGAAAGAGACAACACGCTAATATGACTTCACCATCCAAATATGGGAAATGTGTTTTGGGTACCCAGTTAATAAAATATATCCATGGTCTGCAATGTCCTTCCTGTTTTATATCCAGAACAACCCCATGATTCTAGTTGAAGAGAATGGAATCAGGATCTTGGTTCGCCATCTGTGCTATATGCTTTAACACATCCTTTTTGGTAATGATTCCAAGCAAACGCCTAAAAGACAAACACAATTCGACAAAACAAAAGTAAATCTACAGTTAAAACAACATTCCCAAAAGATGACACTTGTCCTCCCCAGTCTTTTTCAACTTTGCCTTTAAACACTATCTGCACTTCCAGAATGTTGAGACAACAGGAGTTGGATGCATGTTCCAGGCAAACAGGACGATGCACAAGTCCCTAAATATATGTGAGAACTTCTACATCTGGGTCTCAGGTCCTGCAATTTCCTCTGCTCTATATTCTCTAAATATAGGAATCTTTCTTACTTACTGCAACCCAGTCCAAATGTTCCTCTTCCAGAAACTTTCCTGATCCTATAAACCAGTAATAACTGTTCTGTTCCCAGCAACAGCATGTTTTGTGCAGGCCTCTTCTATAATAGCTGCCCTCTTTGCTACTTTCCTATAACCACTTGTGTATCCTGCATTCCCCCGAAACACTGCAGACTCCTTGAGGATAGAGAAGGGTATTATTTATTTTTGTATCTCCACAGAATCCATAATACCTTCTTACATGAAGTAGGGATTCAGCAACTGTTGAATGAACCAGTTAAGGAGAGCCCCCTTACTGATTTAGATTCTGCTAGACATCAGATATGGCACTTGAAAATTTCAGAGGAGGGAGCAGCCAGGCATGATGATGCACACATGTAACCCCCCAGCTACTCAGGAGGCTGATGCAAAAGGATCACAAGATTGAGGTCAGCCTCAGAAATTTAGTGAGACCCTATTTCAAAAGTCAAAATAAAAAAGGCTGGGGATATAGTTCAGTGATAGAACACTTGCACGTACAAGGCCATGGATTTGATCCCCAACACCACACACACAAAAAAAAAAAAAAATTAAAGGAGGGGGGAATTCTTATGTAGCGGCTGGATGAATGCAGCAGAAAAATGTTCAGAAAAAACTCCACCCTTCTCCTCTCCCGCCTCTCTTTTCCAGTAAAAACTGAAGGACTTCCTTTACTGGACAAGAAATATCCTGGGAAGGAAAGAGCCATGGACTTTGGAGTCGGAAGATTTGTGTTTCAAGCTACCTCTATTGTTTATTAACTGGGGACCCTCATGTAAATCATTAGACCTCACTGAAACTTGGTTTTCTTGTCCTCAAATAATAAGAACAAAGGATTGTAAGGGCCAAATACAATAGTCTCCTTTAAATTGTGGTTTCAGTTACCCATGATCAACCATGGTCCGAAAACAACGCAGTACCATATTTATTGTCATTATCTCTTACTATGCCTGATTTATAATTTGAACTTTATCATAGGTATAGGAAAAATATAGTCTTTTTTTCAGGGGCAGGGTACTGGCAATTAAACCCAGAGGAACCCTACCACTGAGCTACATCTCAGACCTTTTTTGTTTTTATTTTTTAATTTTGAGACAGAGTCTTGCTCAGTTGGTGAGGCTAGTATCAAATTTGTGGACTCCTGCCTTAGTCTCCCCAGTTGCTGAGGTTACAGGCATGCACCATGGGACCTGGTAGGAAAAAAAAAGAGTTTTATATAGGGTTCAGTACTATTTGCAGATTCAGGCATCTGATGGCGGTCATGGAAGGTATCCCTGAGAATAAGGGGAACTCTTGTTCTATACATATCCTACCTGATACCATTACAATTTCAGTGCTGCCTGAACATGAGAACACAGCTATTTCCTTTGTAGGCGAGGATCTCAGTTATTGATAATATGCATCTAACAACTTTCAAATACATTCTCTTCCCCAAATTCCTTTTCTACTAATTATGATGATCAAAGTAACATATCTACTTTTATCTCAGAGCTTCAAAATGTACTACTAATGTTCATTTACACTGGATTCTTCTTTTTATTTTTCTGTCTCCATATTCTCTTTCTTCCCACAAGCAATTTGTCTTTGCCCAAGAGTTCTTACCCATTGTGTGTAACCAGGCACTGTCGTAGTCCCAGCTTGCGGAAGATATCCACTACGATCTCCATGGGTGTCAGGTCAGTCACAGTGAAGGGGCTGAGATCCAGGATGTTCCGAAGCTTCAGGGTAGGTGGAGTGTATGGTGGCATTGGAGGAGAATGCTCAGTGAAATAAATGATAGAAGTGCTCACAACTCCATCCTGTTTCTTCCGAGCATTTTCTATTTGAACAGAAAGGGGTTAAGTTGAAAACAGAAGTGCTAGTTCAATCATTCTGGCCCCTAATCAGTCCCCTATCCCCTGTCCTCCCCCATTTTGTGCTGATTTATTGAGTTACATAGTAGATTCTATGATCTCCTCTCTAAAATACTTACCAATTGAAATAATCAGATCTCTTCGAAGGACAAAGCCTACAAGTCTTTGAGACTCCCGGGACACCACCACTGGGAAGCCACTGTAAGTGGTTTCACTGATTATGGTTTCTACATCTTCCACAGTCATACTGTCCTGAGTCAGGACAGTCAACAAAGGATCATTTCTCCGGGGTTTCATCACATCCATTGCCAGGGTCTTATGAGCAAACTCTTCTTTGGCTTCAAGAAAGGGGTATCCATTGAGACGGATATGGGCATCATAAATGCCCTCCCGTCCAAGTGCATCTGCCACCCACTTGCTTGTCATGGCTGCAGCCATCAGAGGCACAATATATTCCAAGCCGCCAGTCAGTTCAAACATTATGACAACAAGAGAAACAGTCATGCGAGTCACACCCCCTGCAAAGAAATAGACACAGGCTATTGAAGGGACACAAAGCACAGGATTCATTCCAATTATTGGCCTGTTACAGGCTCCATACAGGAAAAGCTACTTACCAGAACTAATGCTAGAATGGAGTCCTACCTATAACTACACAGACCCTGAGATTCTAGTAATATTATAATCAATCTGACTCAGATTTTTCAAAATAACATCCACAGAAATATAAGATACCTTCTTGTATTTTTTTTTCATTTGGTGCTTCCTTTCCCTAATTATAAAAGTAATACATGCCACTGTAGAAAATTCAGAAAATATGGAACAAAGTCATTATTCACAAGCTCACTGCCTATTAATAAGCAGAGTAAATTTTTAGAGGACATTTTCAAGTTTTCTATACACAAAAACATAGATAAGCTCACATTATGTATAAATATCCACCATGCTCTTCGCCTTCTTTATGTGGGGAATATTTCACATATTATTACAAATTTATTTAACATCATATTTAAAGATTTGAACATGTTAACATCATATTTAAGGGCTGTGTAATATAGTGATATATGGATGAACCATAATTTATTTTATCAATTCTTTACTGTGCAAAGTCAGGTTGACTGGAAATGTTTCGTCTCATAAATAATACTGTGATGCGTATTCTTGTGCAGCCCTCTTTGTCTAAATTTCTGATCATTTTCCCAGTGGGAAAGAGTAGAATTAGCTCTCATAAAGCTCTTGAAAAATAGCAAACACATTAGGAAATGGATGATCGTTTATAAAATTCTGCAGTCTGTGCTTAATATCACTCTTCTTTTGTATATCAGCTGGATAGCTGGGTAGCAACTTCTTTGAAATCATTGTGAACCCTACTCACCTAAGCAGGCAGCAGCCCCAACCATCGCATAAAGACCAGGGGTGATGCAATCAGCTCCCTGACTACACCAACTATTAAAGATTGTCCAGTCATGGTGGTAATAAGCCAGTTGTTCCATTCCTACTCCTAAAAGCCGACCTGCTATAGCACCAACAGCCATGCTAGGGATAAAGAGGCCAGAAGGGATCTGCAAAGAGAAAGCAAGAGATGGTTAGTGACAAATGATGCGACTGCTTGGCATACGGTAAGGGCTGGAGGACTGACCCTCTGCGAAGCAAACAGGCCATTGACAATTTAACTATGCACTATGCTAGCAAGTGGCTATAAAGATTTGTGTAACACTACAGGGACTAGAGGTTCTCCGGGACGTGCAGGCAAGGATGACTGCAAAGAAGCTTACCCTGATTCGGGGTCCATCAGGCAAGAGCCTGAACTCTCCAGACCAACACAGAACTGGAGGCAGAAATTAGGCCTTTCCCAAAGAAAAAGGAAAATAGATGGAGTTTCTTATATATGCAGACATTTTCCCCAGTTTGAATACTTATCAATTACAATTTCTGACTACAGTGGTCTATGCTGAATGCTCTACACGTAAGATTTTGTAGATTCTTCATAACAACCCCAGGAGGTAGGCATTATTATTCCCAAATGATCAAGAACCTAAGGATCAGAAAGGTCAAGAAACTCATCCAAGGTCAGGATTTAGTAAATACTGGTGCTTGGATCTAAACGGAATGCTCACAACCATGCTCATACATTGAATCCTAACCCACTGTGCACACAAAAAGGATGGTATATGAGGTTTCATTGTTTTGCAACAGCATAAAGAAATATTAAACAAACATTTTAAATAAGCAAATGGCTATGGTTGCATGCTTAAGCAAAAAAGGATACTTCATCTATCTTCCTGCTTTTTCTAAGATGCTGTAATAAATTATTAATATTCTGTTCTAAGAGGGAAATTATGTCAAGGATAATAAAAACAGATTGTTTTAAAATAGTCTGCATTTGATTTTGGAATGCATTTGAATCTGGTGTTCTGAGGGCCTACAAATTCCCTCTAATTTTCACCCCATGGTTTCATTGTTTTATTTAACTGAAGAGACACTGCAAAACTTTACAGGGCCTCCATCCTATTTCTGTGTTGAGGGGCATAGATGGTTAGATGATGTCTAAGAAAGCAGTGTTGCTGAAACTAGGTTGCTGTCCCTTATTTTCTGGTTTGAATCTCTGTTTCCCCAGAGAATACAGGGAAATACTCTGGTAGTAGGGTGCTAAAGAGAAGAAACAAGTAAAAACCTAGTAAGGAGGAGGAAATATCTTAACAAAATTTCCTTTCTGGTTTCTTCTGAAATATAGAAATGATTACTGGTATTGAAAATAAAACATGTCAGCCTGAGTTTTCTTTTTTTAAAAAAAATAAATTAACACATAATAATTATGCATATTATTGGGTACAGTGTGATATTTTAAAAACATGTATAAAATGTATAATGATTAGATCAGGGTAATTATTATATCCGTCAGCTTGAACATTTATCACTTCTGTGTGTTGAGAACATTCAAATCCTCTCTTCTGTTTTGAAATACGCAACAAATTATCGTCAACTGTTGACACCCTAGTGAGCTATACAACACTAGAATGTATCCCTGCTATCTAATTTTATTATGTACCAGTTAGCCAACTCTTCTCAATCTCTTCCTCCCTATTCCCCTTCCCAGGATCTGACAACCACTATCCTACTTTCTCCTGCTAAGGCCTCCACTTTTTTCAGTTCAGGGAAAACATGCCAATGTCTGCTTTTAATAGTTTCAGATTTATATTAACTTGCGAAATGGATCCCAGTTGTTGAGTAGTTGCCTTGATTCCAAGTGTAAAAAGCAACAAAAGTAGTTATATATATTGGGCTGAAACATGAAATTGCTCTTTGAAACAGCCAAAATGGTTGAGTACCATCAACTTAATGGGGTTCAGAGAATATACTTTATGAATAACCTCTAAAGCCACCCTGTAAGAATTAATACCATACAGGACAAATATTGTTTTTTGGTTCTACAGGCACCTCACCATCCTTTTTGAGGGAAAATTGCTTCCCACAGAAAAGGAAAAGACATGTCTTCCCACAATCTCATCACTAAGGTTTGCATTTGGTCTCAAAATAATCTTGGACAACTTGAGAGAGGTAAAGTTATCTAGGAAGTTATGGGAACAAGTGGGGGTAAAAGAGGCTTTGGGGTGGGGTAATTACCACATGAATTATTGTAACTGTAAGATACCTTGGCTTTGCCCTCAAAAACCCACAGCCACACACATAGCCACTAAGTGCCAAAAGAATTCCTCACCTTCATGCCAAAGGTGAATATAGTAATGACAATTTTCAGGATGAGTGTCAAAGCCAGCTGCCACATGGCACTGTAGACTCCCACGCCAGCCGGTCTGTCAGGCAGTTCACCGCCCTTGCTTGTATTAAAACGATTCTCATAATCACACAGCTTGGAGGAGTCCAGAAGGCCACAGTCATTGAACAGCTCAGAAATGAGCTCACTTGTACTCATTCGGGTATATTCATTGGGGAAAGCCAGGATGGCAGTGATGGCTGTCACGATGAGTACCTCTATGACGGGATACTTGCCCAACTGAGTGGTCTTACGCTTCCGACACCAGGCAATGTTTGTGCGGATAAACAGAGCTCCCCACAGACCACCAAATATGCCCAGCAGAATGAATGGTACAAGCTCAAAGAGATGCCACGGGGTGTGAAACTCCACATAAAACAGAACTAGGCGGCTGTTCCCAAATGGATTGATGGAGCGTAGAGTAAATGCTGCCACCAGGGCAGCAAAGAATGAACGCCACAAAGTTTTGAGGGGAAAATAGTAGCTGACCTATAAGAGAGGAGGTGAGAAAGCAAACTCGGTCAATACACAGAGAAATGATTTCAGGGGAAAAGTTGGTGCTGCTGGCATTAGAGTGGAGGATGACAACCGCCCAGGGATTTCTGGTCACATAGTAAATCACTGAGTTGGGCCATGCACTCAGGGACTGCAACATTTTTAGATATTGGCAAAAATCCTGACACACAAGCATGCACATGTCAGGTGCAGTGGCACACGCCTGTAAACACAGGGATTTGGGAGGTTGAGGCAAGAAGACCTCAAGTTCAAAGCGAGCGTCAGCAACTTTAGCTTAAAAAATTAATATTTTGTCTCAAAATAAAAATAAACAAATAAAAATGGGCATGGGGATGTGGATCAATGGTTAAGCACCCCTGGGTTCAATGCTCAGTAGCAAAAAAACAAAAAAAAATCATTACCTCTTCCAGACTGAATAACACTCCTCCGATAGGTGCCCCAAAAGCTACAGATACACCAGCAGCAGCTGCAGCTGATAAGACCTACAATCCAAAACTCAAAATTAGCAATAAATAATGCTGCTTTTCCATGTTCAATCGTATTTTTAAAGGAATGTTGTTACCACACATTTTCTTTTTTAAAAAAATCCTGTACATGCTCCATATCCTCAAAAATGTAGTTCAATTTCTATTTACTTTGAGAGCAACCACTATTTCTGGATGTTGAACACACATACGTGGTTCCCATACTTATGCAGGACAAAGGGCCTTCCATTTGTGATTAATTTGGATATGGCCTGTGTTCTAAGTTATGCCCTCCATCTGCAATACACCCAATTCAGTAACTGATGTATTTATTCCCTACCTAAAATGAAGTACTTACAGTGATGTTTACATAGCACTTTGCAAAGGAATGTTTTTCAAATGAGATGTTAAAGAAGGCTCTAATGATACAAAACTGAAATTACAATTGGCTCACAGCTCTTCTGAAGCTGCATTATTTATACAACAGACATTTAGCTTTCCATGCTGTGTGCCCTACTCTATGCCCATTAACCTTTAGAAACAGAAATAGGAAGGCAGCTCGATTTTTAAATGAAGAGAAAATGCTAAATATGTTTAGGCACAGCAAGGAAAGGGGCTAAGGAGGAGAAGAAGAAGCTGTTAGAGGGAAAGAGAACGAGTGATATTTAGAGAGTGTCACCTCTGTGTGTAGGCATGTGTGAGCATGTAAAATGTACAAGACAAACACTGATGATGGCAAACAAAGCATAGTTCCGTAGAAAGACAGAGTCCTTCCCTTGGATTCTAGTTGCTGTGGAGAAAGAGTTAATTGGGGGAGAAAGGGAATTCATAGCTAAAATGGCTTTTCATTTCAGACAGCCAACATGCAACTTGAGACAGAGGATTTCACTGTGTTTAGGATGAATTAGGGTGGAGAAGAAGGATTGAGTTGGCTGCTGCTTTAATTATCTACTGCAAGGTAAAATCAATCTATGCCCATCCTTCTCAAATCAGTTTTAATCTCAGCCATCTACCCACTTGGACAAGGCCACTGGCCACAAAAGGGTACCACCGATGGTAAGAACAATAGGAAAAGATAACTGGATAGTCTAAATGAGCAGTAGGAAGTAAATTTGAGATCCAAGTATCCACGAATCTACTCAGAGAAATATATGGCATCTGTACAGAGAAACAGGCAAATCAAATTTCCCTTTCATAATATAGGGGAGTATTTGAGCAAAAATGACAATTTTCTGGATGGAAAGTAACCAGCAATCTATAGTTTCAAACTCATCTCCATCAATGGAAAACCAGCAACAATCCACACTTTATTCTTGCCTGTTAAAATGGGTTTTTTTTCCCCTTCAACTCTGTTGCTTCCATTGTATATTATCTCTGTTTAACAACCTCCCCGTTTTAACATGGCCTTTGTGTCCCTCTACCACATAACACATACATAAACAGTCTACTACATAAGCCCATGTCACTTCTGCTATTTTTCCTCTCCTTTCTATGTGTATCAGGAACTTTCTCCCTTGAACTATCAAAATTTATTCTGTATTTGAAACCTCAGTGCCTTTCAGTTTCCTTCTAGGTCTTGCAGTTAACCTTTTTTGTTTTGTTTTTGAAAACCTATTTGTTTTCTTTTGTTTTCAGAAGAAATCACTAGATTCCAGATTTGTGAAGCATCTTTCTTAATGAAATCACCTTGATCTTTGATCCATTACATGTGCTTGCTTTGTAATTCAAGGAAAATAAGCTAGAACCATTATTTCCTTAGGTCCTTAATTATAGCAGGATGAAAAAGGAACCAATGGCTTGGAACGTTTTAAAAATGTTCCTCTTCAAAAGAGCATACATTAAGAACTGAATAAATTTGAGAACAACTACAGCGATGCTAATTTAGCCCGGTGGGGGTAGGTGTTTAGCAGAGCTGAGGCAGGAGGCAGAGTGAGGTCTAATCCAGAGAGAAACCAAGTCAAGTGTGCCCTTAGATAGAAATAAAGATAAAAATGTTGACACCTGAATTGCACAATGCATTTATATTTACTCTTGCATAGGAAATAAACAAGTTCTGCCAGGTGCAGTGGTGCATAGAGGCTGAGGAAGGAGGATCTCAAGTTTGAGGCCAGCCTCAGCAACTCAGTAAGACCCTCAACTTAGCATGAAGCTATTTCAAAATAAAAAATAAAAATGTCTGAGGATGAGAGGACACCTGGGTTCAATCCACAATACCAAGGAGGGAAAAAGGAATAGAAATCTTCTTCAGACAGGTGCAACAGCACATGCCTATAATCCCAGCAGCTTGGGAAGCTGAGGTAGAAGGATCGTGAGTTCAGAGCCAGCCTCAGCAATGGTGAGGTACTTAGCAACTCAGTGAGACTCTCTAAATAAAATACAAAATAGGGCTGGGGATGTGCCTCAGTGGTTGAGTGCCCCCGAGTTCAATCCCCAGTACCCCCCCCCCCAAATCTTCTTTAAAAATCTGTTAAAAAATTTGTAACTCCTTTTGTAAAGAAACAACATATGCTTGCATAGGATTATATATAATAAAAAGTTAAAGTCATTACTTCTCTTTCCCTACCAGCTCACTGGCCAACTCACCAGAAGTAGACATTTTTAACAACTTGGGGTAAACCCATTTTCCAGACATAGTAAGTTCATAGATATAAACATTTTTGAAATATTACCTGAATTACAATATGCATATCAGTCATGAACTGACTTTTAAAATTTAATATTATTCTATCACCAGAATATCATATGTAGGACTACCTCATTCTTTTTAAGGGTTGCATAATATTCTATTATACAGGCAGGATATTGTTTATTGGATTAGTCCCTTCTTGATGGACACTTTGGTTGCTTCGGATTTTCACTATTTTGATAAACAGTGTACTGACTATCCCAAAAAACCTGTGTGAACACACATGCTAGGATGCCTGTAGGATAAATTCCTAGAAGTGAACTTTCTGAGTCAAAGGGTGTTTGCATTCACTATGGAAGAATTCCCAGATTTGCATTCATAAGACTGTATCACTTAAGTGCTCATGTAAAAAGTAACTATTAAGGCCATTTTTCATTACCTCTCTGCGTTTGGCTTCATTCTTCCTGTATTTGTTGAAGCAGTGGCAAAGGATGTTCCCACAGCAGCAAGCCACGTGCACTAGGGGGCCCTCTTTGCCCAGGCTCAAGCCAGAGGACACTGCCAGCACCAAGGTGATGGTTTTGATAACCAGGGTCCACTTACCCAAATAGCCCCTAATAATGAAACCACTCAAGATAGTTTTTATCTGCAGGACAAACAGAGAGATTGAACATAGACTAAGGAAGTAAAACAAGGTTAAGAAGCAAAAATCTGGGCCTCATCATAGAAACTACATCTTTTGAACAAGGGAGGTATAAATGCTTGATTTAAAGGGAACCCAGTTTGGGAGGGAGCTCAGGAGTTCAAGAAAGGTGGAACTATTCTTCAAGCTTTCATGTCCCCCCTCCCCCTTTTATTTTGGTGGTGGTGGTGAGAATGGGAGCCATGTGACATCTGGACAAGTGCATACTATATATGAGAATGGATAGCTGGAGAAATTTGAGAAGGCAGATGGGGAGGAATAGATGTTTCCCTTAGTTTACAAAATGGTGGCCTAAGAGGCATGTTCTGAGAGAGCAAGGTCAATGTTCTGGAACCAACCTGAAAGATTAGATATAATCTTGATCTCCTGCCAAAGAAATGACTACTACTTGGTCAAGAAACAGACAGGGGCAAGGTCATTCTGGTGACGTAAAATTTCAGTGGTTTTAGTCACCATAAAGCAACCTATGTCAAAAGTAGTTAGAAATAGGAATTCCCTTTAGCCTAAATTATATTGTGGGAGAAAGGTAGGGAAAAATTATAGGGAAATGGTTTTATTTCTTTTGCTCTACCAGAGTTGATAATTCCACTGTTTTTTGTGGTCAGAATCTTGGGGCTTACCCTGGGAACTTCTTGGGTAAGGACTGGGGGAGGTGTTTAGGAGCCTGGTTTAAGAGGAATCCTCAGGAGGCTCAGAATCAACCCCTTTTAATTTCCAGGTCACCTAGGCTAGGAGAAAGCTTCAGGGAGAACTTAAAGAGGCCTCAGGATCCGACTCTGTTTAATATTTACCAAATTATGGTACAGGCCGGAACACACACTAAAAGCTTTTAACCAAAAAGATTAATATTGTTACCATTCATAAACCATTTCAACATACTCACCTCAGGAATTCCAGAGCCACAGGCATAAGGTGCAAACACCTTGACAAGAGATACAGCAAGGAAGGCAAATAGGAGAGCCCAGAGGACATACATGAAATAATTGACTATGTAGGCAAAGGCCCCCTAGAACAGGGAAAAAAAGAGAGAGAAGTTCATTTTAGCTGAGATTACCTCAGTGAGTTATGGGGCTCTTCTGAGTCATGGTTTTACAGGAAAGAGTTCAGAAGGAAAAAGGCCTATATTAATTTGCTCAAATATTTCTTTCCAGATTGTTCAACAAGGCAACAACTGATACGGTCAGGTCACTTGGTATTGAAAATTAAGATGCTTTGTTACACCTAAAGGAAATTCACACATTTTAGAAATGGACAGGAAGAAGATCAAACTCAAAACCCTGAACTAAAATTCACTGTTTATGTGAGTGCTTTGATAGGTTTTATAGTCTAATATATATGATCCTGTATCAATTTTACCAAGCATTTTATCAGTTCTTTTAATGAAATGGCCAAACCCTGGCTACACGTTTGAAGTGAAGTCCAGCTCTAAAATTTCATTACATTCACCTTTGGCTACCTATCTTGGTGTCAAAATCTCACAGGATATTATAGTGACTAAAATTCTTGGGTGGTTTTCCTTCCATCCTCCATCCCATTTTTCCCTTCCTTTTTTCTTGTGGTACTGGGGACCAAACCCAGGACTGCTCCACTACTGAGCTACTTTCCCAGCCCTTTTCTATTTCTTTTGTGACAAGGTATTTCTAAGTTGCTGAGGCTGTCCTTGACCTTGTGGTCCTCCTGCCTTTGCCTCCTAAGTCTCTGGGATTATAGGCATGCACAAGTGTGCCTGGTGATTTTTCTTGTTTATTGCATATGTTTAAAGTGTACAACATAATGTTTTTCATTTTGTTTTGTTGTTTAGGTGATGGGGATTGAACCCAGGGCCTTGTACATGCTAAGTACATGCTCTACCACTGAGCTACACTCATGGCCCTGATGTTTTCATATACATCTACATAATGAATGATTATTACAATCAAACAGACATACATAATCATCACCTTCCATTGTAGCCTTTCTTCATATGTGTGGTAATAGCATGTAAAATCTCTTAGCAAAATTTCAGTTCTTCTTCTTCTTCTTCTTCTTCTTCTTATTATTATTATTATTATTATTATTATTACATTGGGGGATTCAACCCAGGGGTGCTCTATCACCAACCTACATTCAAACCTTTTTTTTTTTAATTTTTTGAGACAAGGTCTTGCTAAATTGCTGAGGCTGGCTTTGAACTTGCAATACTCCTGCCTCAGCCTCTTGAGTAGCTAGGATTACAGGCTTGTGCCACTGAGCCCAGCAACAATATTAACTATAATCCTTACATGTTATATTCGATCTCTAGATTTATTCATCCCACCTAACTACAAATTCATACCTTTGGCCTACTTCCCATCTCCTTCTACTCTTTGTCCCTAGTAACCATCATTTTACCAACCTAGTTTATTTAAGATCCCATATATAATGATGACATCTTTAGAGATGCAGCAACAAGTATGTGAGTAGAAAGTTTGATGACATATATTTCAAAGAATAAAATGGCAATATTTCTTATGTACTCAGCATTGAACTCAGGGCCATGTACGTTAGTCAAGTGTTCTACCACTGAGCTATATCCCCAGCACCTTTAACTATTTTTAAAATGGAGAGAATATACCTTTAAGACTATTCCCTTTGATAATGAAGTATGCTACAAAAGAAATCTAGTTTGGACCACAAATAAGGATTCATTAAAATTAATGGACTGGTAAATAGTCATGCCTTACAAAAAAAACAATTTTGGACCCTAGGAGGTTATGCTTGTTGGTAGAAATATTAGGAGTTGAAATTCATTCAAATTACACGGAATACAAAACTCAATGGACTTTTTGACTTTTCAAAATACAAAACATTATTTATATAATTCACTGACCTAGACAAAGAGTGCTCAGGTTTTTGTTTTTTTCTATGCTATAAGCTTGATACAGGTTTTCCATGATTTTAGCTCCTCAAAGGCACAGACAATTGGTATTTCCTTGCCTTGCAAATGTAACCTAGGAGCAAGGAGACTCCAGAGGTACAAAACAAAGAGGGAAAGGGAGTGAAGGGTAAAGTAACAAACAGGCCAGAGGCACAGATGAGGCCAAATTCTTGGCAGGAGAAGGTTTCCTAAAACCTAGAAGACTCTTTCCCCAGGCTAGGATTTCATTCATAAAAAGGAAAGCCAGAGATAGTTGCTCAAGCAAATCTCAAACTCCAGGTCTGGTTTGACAGTAACTACTGGAACACACACACACACACAACTATATGGGGACAGACAGTATGAGGGAGCCTTGTGGTCATAGAACTGTCCTACATTTTCACTGTGCTGGTGGTTATACAAAACTACACATGGGATAAAATCACAAAGAACTCTATCTCAAATCAGTCAGTGTAAAATTAGGTCTGTGGTTTGTACCTAAGTCAATTTCTTATACTATTTGTCATCATTATGCAAGGTGTTATTTAGGGAGGCTGAGTGAAGCATATAGAGAATCTCCTTGTACAACTGTTTTAACACTTCCTAGAAATTTGTAATTACTTTTTTCAAAAGTGTCTCATCAAAAGCAAGGGAAACACATGCATCCATCCACCTTCACTCACCCTGAATTCCAGGACCTCTCAAACTATTCTACCCAGGTCCTTCTAATCTAAGACAGTACATACGGTAAAGGGAGGTGGTACCTGGAAACAGAGCTAAAACAGAGATCTTGAAGTTTCTATAATCACCGTTCTGTGCTGGAGAAAGAGTATTCCTTCTATCTAACTGGATTTTGGTACCCATTATCCAACCTCTCTCTCCCCAACCCCCTCTCACTTCCCAGCCTCCAGTGACCACTATTTTGCTCTCTACTTCTTTAACTCTCTATTTATATGTGATCTGTTTTCAAAAATAAAATTTCAGAGTATAAGCATATGTCCTAGCCTTGCTTTCCCCACTTTACCAACAGAGTGGAGGAGTAGGGAGCTAAAATGTACCCAATGTAGTTGGTGAAAGAGTGGAATTGGGAGTTGAGAGTTTGTTTTATGTGCTTTCATTTTCAGTGGGAGAGAGCTAACATAACAAAGTGATAAGAGAAAGGAAATGAACCAAAAAACAAAATCACTTGTGCACCAAAAAACACATGCTAGAGGACAATAAAAATGTTGATTTGATTGCAAGATGTGACTATAAGCAATTTTATTCCTAGGTTTCTGTTATTTAAAAAAAAACATTTTTAGTTGTAGATGGACATAGTAACTTTATTTTATTTATTTATTTTTATGTAGTGCTGAGGATCAAACCCAGTGCCTAACATGTGCTAGGCAAGCACTTTACCACTGAGCTACAAATCCCAGCCCGGGTTTGTGTTATTTTGACATGGAATATATCATATGTTTTAGTATTCTAATGCGACACTTGGGAACCAATCACTTTTGGTGTTCATATGATAAACAGATTTTAAATGAAAATTTTTGTGTGGTGCTTGGGATCAAACCCAGGACCTTGAACATGCTAGGCAAATGCTCTGCCACTGAACCACTCCCCTAGCCCTAAACACATTTTTAACCCATTCCCTCCTTCATTAGAAATCATAGCTTACCTGTTGGGTGCTTCTGACATTCCCATTGAAATTATTAGGGAAAGACATATTCAGTTACATTGTATACTAACAACTCAGAAGACTTGCTGGGCTTATTTTAAACAAACCAACATTTTAAAGATAAGCAACAACTGATTGCCCATGTCAGAAGAGATGGAAATAGGATTTTGCATAAACCACAGAACAAGGCAGCTGGCATGTGTTCCCCTTTTTATAAAAAGAAATACAGGGGGAGATTCCACAATAGCCACAAGTACAATATCAGAAATGAAATAAATGTAAGAATAAAATCTAGTGGTTCCGAAAGCATCACTGTATGTTACCTCATCTGTGTTGATGATAAGTTGGGACCAACTATTCCACTCTGGACATTTGTCTCTGTCTTCAAAGGTGACATGTTCAGAGTTCCAGCAACAGTGTTCATGGTTAAACCAGAACCCTCCTGTGCATATGCCTTCTTTTAAGTCTGTCATCCAATGAGCAGAGATGTCTATCAGGCCAGCTAAGGAACCTGGTTTGTGAGGGAGAGAAGACCAAAGTTAAATTCCATTTCTGATACTCTGTTCTTCAGTAATCAAAGTTTTGTCAGCAAAAACAAGGGAAAAGGAATCAAAATAACTGAGGAGCACATACATTGGCTTGGTTTTCACTCATCATCTCCCCCATGAAACACTAGTGTCTGTATACAGGAGGGACTCAGGGAGAAGAAGAACAGTTGGTTGGGAGTAAGGGGCTATTGGATTTGTCTTTAAGTTGAATCTACCTGGCCAAGACACTGCTTTGATTTAGACGGTAAAGTTTATTCAAGATTATTTCATTCTCGATATATATGTACATGTATGCTTACACACACACACACAGTTGAGAAAACATGACTTGCCCATACTGATAAATATTCTAATGGTGGTTATTGGAGATGGGGAGGAGAGCTGGTAAAGTTTATAGAAAGAAAGGCTGATCCTACGTAGCAGGATTTTACTCCACAGACAAGGGAACTAGAGCAATGGCAGGAAGGCATTGTAGGCTAAGGGAACTGCACTTATAAAAGCACAAACTATGATGTGCATGGAAAATTAGATACATTGAAGCCTTCTGAACCTCGGACATGAACATTCTGAATTTTTCTTAGTGAGGAGAAATAAATGCTATTATACATGGAATATTCTTCCAAAAGAAAAATAAGAAAATGAAGAGTGAACTGGGGACATATGTATTATAGCTAGTCCACTGATAGGGTTAAGATAGTTATAGTGCTTTAGATTCTGGCCTTCTCTTCATTTCTGTCTTCCAGATGAAGAAACTCTGGCATAGAGAAATTAAATGACCCAAAGTCATGCTTTAGGGAAATAGTAAAGACATCATAAAATTCACAGCCCCTGAATTCCCAGACTGTTCTTGCACTCAGACACACTGCTTCCATTGTTGCTCTCCAGTGCTTAAAAACAAAATACTCTTGTGTATGAGGGAAAGAAAAATAGTCACTGACCACCTAGTGACAAGAAATACATTAAAAAGTGGAGGATATGACGCCTACATTCCACCAGGCAAGAGGCCATGTCATGTGTGTGTTTTGGTAGGTGCTAAAAGTGTTAGCACAGGCTATTTACATCCTTGAATACTCTAGTCAAATCTAGCACGTTGTTTGACACCTACTTTTGGCCACCCCACCCTCCAGCCTTCACTTCTTTCTAACTCATATTGAGTCATAGTAAGTCTGCCTGGACTTAGAAAATTAACAAGATGTTATATAGTTTGACTTACTCTCTGGTTATTTCATGTGTGTGTGTCTTATTTTACCCAACACTATTACCCACCATCTTATCCTTCCTTTTATTTCTACCTGTCCTCCTCCTCCTCTCAATCAGCCCTTTCTTTGCTGGTTACAAATTTTATTAGGTTTCCCCTGAGCCAAAGAATAAAATGCTATCCCTTCTCCTTGTTATCATTTTAAGATTTTGCCCCTCCTTTTTTCCCCAATGACTACCTAAACCTCTACACTAGCTTCTGTGCCTTGAAATATGGCTCTTTTTATATATCTGAGATGATTTTTCAAGGTCATTGATGTGCTCCTAACTTCTAGGCTGTATATCCTTTTCCCGTCATCTTCCTTCTCTTTAGCTCTCTGCAATATTTTGCATCACAGACCACCCAATTCCAAACTCACCATGCTCTCTCACCCTGTATGAGTCAGAAAGAGCAGAGTTAACATCCTAGACCATGAGTTTGCAAACTACTTCCCAAGGGCCAATCCTTTATTTGTAAATAATAAAGTCCTGGTGGTAGCCAAGCTCATTTGTTCACCTGTGATCTATGGCTGCTTTCATGTCACATCAGCAGAGTGGAATAGGTGCTAAAATATTTATTAGCTGGCCCCTTTATAGAAAAAGTTTTCCGACCCCTATCCTAGATAAAAATCTAGCTATGGATATAAGCCATTTTTTTAAATTTAAAGTAGCCATTTTCTACTTTGTGGCTCATGAATCATTATCCCTTGGTAACAGCAGCATTATTAACAACTGGGCAGTATGTTAAGTGCCATATCCTATTTAATCCTCACAGAAACTCTTAATGTAGGTACTGTTATTATCTCCATTTGACAGGTCAGTAAACTAAAGCTTCTAGGGGTTAACAAGAAACTTATCCAAAGCCACCAAAAATGTAGTGGGACTGAAATTCAATCTCTAGCTACCTGAAATTAGATCCTGGACTGTTACCTACCCTCTAATACCATCTCCTCTAGCTTTTCCACCTAATTTCTTCTTCTATTTTTTTTTTCTTTTTTCCGTACCAGGGATTGAACTTAGGGTCATTTAACCACAAAGCCATATCCCCAGTCCTTTTTTTTTTTTTTTAATTTTGAGACAGGTCCCTCTAAGTTGCTTAGGGACTTGCTAAGTTGCTGAGGCTGGCTTTGAACTTGTGATCCTCCTGCCTCAGTCTCCTGAGCCTCTGTGATTACAGACATGTCCCACCTTGCCTGGACACACATAATTTCTATTTCAGTCTAAGATTCTAGATACACCTAGGCCCCATCTTTTATTTTCAATTTATTTTCTGGTACTTGGGATTGAGCCTACGGTTCTCTACTTCTGAGTCACATCCCCATCACTTTTTTTTTTTTAATTCTGAGACAGGATCTTGCTAAGTTTCCTAGAGCCTTGGTAAATTGCTGAGGCTGGCCTTGGACTGTGATCCTCCTGCCTCATCCTCCCAAGTGCCTGGGATTACAGGTATGTGTCATTGTACCTGGCATCATTTAATGTTATAAGTACATACCTTTTGGCATCTCTGCCTGGCATCCTTGGCTCTCTGCTTCCCCCATAATAGAAGCCTATTTGAGAACTTGCTTTAAAGCTATATTTGCATAGCATATATACTAGTTTTACTTAGACTGTATACAGTTTAAGAATCCCTAATCTGGAAAGCTCCACAATCCAGAACTTTCTGAGATCCAACATATCAGCAAAAATGGAAAATTCCACATCTGACCTCTGAAGATGGACCATAATCAAAATTCATATGGTCTAAAAATACTGTATAAAATTACCTTCCAGCTATGTGTGCAAGGTATATATAAAACATAAATGGAGACTTGGAATGTAGTTCCTTGCTAGAGTGCAAGAGTAGCAAGTACAAGGAAGGCTATGTGTTCCATCCCCAGCACAACAAAACATAAAATAAATAAATTTCAAGTTTAGATTTGGGTCTCTTCCTCCAAATATCTTATTATGTATATGAAAATATTCCAAAACCAAAAAAAAAATCTGAAATACTTCTGTCTGCAAGTATTTTGGATAAGGGATACTTAGCCTATATTATTTTGAGTGGTAAAGGAAGCTGATGGAGCTAATAGAAAAAGGTGGTATAAATAAATAAAACAAAGAAAGAGGTGGTACCATCTCACTGCTCAGCCACCATGAAAGAATGCAATGAGAAATTCCTTGAAAGAATGGACCACGTCACATGCCTTTATATACCACCAAATGAAAGAGTAGACAAAAGTTCAAGAAACAGCTGTCTCAGGGAATTCTTGTATGCATCTGCTCTCCTAAACTCCATTCAGAATACTTTTTTAAAAACTGTGTTTTTAAATAAAAATTGGTATATATGTGTCAAAAAACAACAACAACAACAAAAATGCCTGATGATTTCTAACAGAAGGGCTCTTCCTCAAGATAAGTACTAAAATGCAGGGTGAACATCGCCTTAAAGTGAAAATGGGCCAGGCCCGGTGGTGCACACCTGTAATGTCAGCTGCTCGGGAGGCTGAGATGGGAGGATCACAAGTTCAAAGCCAGCCTCAGCAATTTAGCGAGGCACTAAGCAACTCAGTGAGACCCTGTCTCAAAATACACAATAGGGCTGGTTGAGTGCCCCTGAGTTCAATCCCTGGTACCCACCCCCCCAAAATGAAAATGGTATGTTATAACAGACAAAAGATGTTTAAATGCAGTTCTTCATTTGTTTAAGGTAGGAGATTCATTTCAGGTAGAAAAACAGCATACAGGCCAGTTCATAAATTAGGGGAGGGGCACAACACAATTTTCAGAGATTTGTTTTGAAAACTACCATAGTTGACCATACCTGATAAAAGTCCAATAAGGAGCATCAACAACCAGCCGGAAAATGCATCGCTCACACTGTGAATTAAGGCCCATGTTGACTCTTTGCTTTTATTGGTGATCTAAGAGAAAATGAAAAAAAAAAAAAAAACCTATTGGTATATGCTATACATACTCTTCCTTCACCTCAAAATTGCTCAGTAAGGAAATACAATGATAATCACCTGGGAATAGAGACCCATGGAAAATTACTTCTCATACAATCTTTAACTGAACGGATTTCACCAAGAACTTTGAAGTTTCCTGTACTCTACCTTCATCTGTAGTACTGTGTTGCTCACAAGTACCTTATCTAGGGCTTCCCTATTTAGTCAGTAATTTCTTAGAATGTCAATCTTTTACTTATTGTAAGGATCTCTTTCTGTCTTGGACATCAGTTATCCCAAGGACAGTCACTTGAAACCAGAAAATAGTTTGTCTCGAAAATATAAACAAACAGAGACTTATGTGAATGATGAAAGCACAATCTGTGGTTTATTTCATAGAGCCATGTTTCAGGTTAGGCAAGTTCTAACACCCAATCCCATGAACCCCTAATTTTTTATTAATCACAGATACTTAGTGATACCAGAGATGTGTTTCTTTCATTTTTTTAGAAACCTGAAGGCACAAGCTAAGGCTATCAGAATATAAGGAAAGTTTTACCTTTTATTCCCAGCCTGGTCAATTTAACCTTTCAGTGTCCATATTTTTAAAACCAACATTCTGCCAGTTTTGTCATGGGTACTTGTCCCTTTTCTGTACCATTATTTATTAGACCGGAAGTAGTTGATTTAGCTGTCCTACCTTCACCTACAACATCACAATAAGCTGAAAATTTCAAAAGAAATTTAAAAATGCATTTTGATCTATGACATTGTTTCCAATATCAGTGCTGAAAATAGATGAGGTTACTTTTTTTTCCCTGTGACATTATTTCCTATCTGATAACGAATCATTAATGCTAGCGGGAAAAAAAGTTCCCATAGACCATGTGATAAATGCACTTCAGTTTTGGATTCCTAATTATTATCATTTATCTCAGATGCAACCATTAATAGGAGAAATATGCTCTTGTCATATCACAGGTGACTCTCACAATTTGAATAATGTGAATATGCAACTGATGACAAACTGAACTCTGAAAGCAGAAATTCTAAAGCCAGCAAGATTCTCAGTTCTAAAGTCTGCCTGATTAATTGATATGATAAAAAGATTATGGAGTATACTCCAGAAATCTTAGGAAAAACACATAATGCCTTATATGATCACCCTTTTGAGTTGTGATAACTCAGTAGAATTACCACAATTCCACGGATTAAGAAGGAATTTCTCAAAGCCTGTATCCAGGACAACCTGACTCCCAGGGGTTCAGGTGGTCCTGAGAAAATCAATCAAGAGCTGGGAAAGGGCTTAAGAATGAAAGGCAAAGGCTGGGGGTGTGGCTCAGTAGTGGAGCACTTGCCTAGCATTTACCAGGCCCTGGGTTTCATCCCCAGCATTGAAAGAAAGACAGAAAGATTTCCACCTGACCGCTCAAGAGATTTGCTTGGCTCTGAAAGGAGGAAATTGTGAATTCAGGAGAGAATGGGGTCAGCTGAACAATCACATTTTTAATTTGAGTCAAAGTAGAAATAGTAAAGGAAAAAATACTACTACTGGGCTGGGGTGGTGGTTCAGTAGTAGAGAACTTGCCTAGCATGTGTGAAGCACTGGGTTTAACCCTTAGTACCACATAAAAATAAACAAATATGTCCCTCTACAACTAAAAAAAAAAAAAAAAAAAAAGCATTAAAAATGCTACTACTACTGTGGCCTAAAGAAATGACTTACCAGGGGATCATCTACTGACAATTGTTGGGCTAAGGTTGGACACTTACTATTTTTTTAAGTTTTTTAGTTGTAGATGGACACAATCCCTTTACTTATTTGTTTATTTATTTTTTCATTTATTTTTATGTGGTGCTGAGGATCGAATCCAGGGTCTCACAATTGTGAGGCAAGTGCTCTACCACTGAGCTATAGCCCCAGCCCTGACACCTACTATTTTTAATGAGCTCTCCATTGTGGCCCTTATGCAAACTAGAAATTTGGATTCCCTAAATTAAATGATACACAGCAACAAATTAAAGGCAAATGACCTTGGCAGACTGCTCTGAGAGTTTTCCACAATACTTTGAAAAGAGAAAAGTGTGGAAATTCTCTTGCCAAATTCAAAAGAACCTCTGCCATAACCCTAATTACCATCTATTACCTATTGCATTAAATTAATGTCCTTAATCTGAACTGATTGGTCTTGTGGTATGAGTTGAATACATGAATTTATTTGAGTTTTATGGTTGTACAAGAGCTATAATCATAAGGAATTCATCCCCTATGATTCAGTAAACACCAGGGCTATGAGAATTTTTTTCTTTTATTCCTTTAAAAGGAGCCCACTAACTTATTTTAGTTTTAAAATTCTTGCTTCAAGGAAAAACCCGCAAAAGGGAGATGAGAAGGGGGAGGAAGATCTTTGACTTTAATTTTGCCACCCTCTTTAAAGATTGTTTTCACCTCTTCAAAGGCACTTATACCTATTCCAGGGCTGTAAGGACCATTTTTAATCCCTTATTTTAGGAAGACAAATCATCAATAAATACAATTTTGTAAAGCATCTAGGATAAAAATAATATTCAAGATGTCTTTCAAAATAAGTTAAAAAATAAACTCTACATTGATAATAGATATCAAATTCAGTCACATCCAGGACTGAAGAAAGGAAAAAAAAATAAAAAGTATTTTCTAACACTTCCCCCAGTATTTCCTAACACTCACGTACCATCCTTTGTCTTACCTCTCGGTGTCTATCCCGGTCTCGAGACTTCTCTCTCACCCAATCAATTGTGTTGAAATCATCATAGGTACCTACACCTGGTATTGGCTCCTCCAAGAAGTCCATGATCCTATTTGAAGAACCTATTCCTCCACCATTGTATGACTTGTTCCCTATATTGAATGGGAAACAGACATTTTACTTCATTTTTAACACCTCTTTTCTCAGCTCCAACAGGTGAGCCTTTAAACTATCAGATGACTACAGTTAGAGTGTGCAATATCCTTACCTGGTAGGTACATCCATCACATTCAGAGGTTTTGTGATCTAGGCCCATTTGATGAGTAACTAAAGGCAGTGTGAATGGAAAGGGACAGATGAGAGCAATAGTACAAAGAGAGTAATAATAGGAGTTGATCTGCAATGAGAAAGGATTTACAGAAAAAACAGGAAGGAGTTTGGAGCAGTGTAGTTACTTCAGTTTATGGAAGACAGACAAAAGGGTCAAAGGTCTTTGCAGACATATCACATCAAGAACTATTTTACAATTATAAGGCAGTAATTCAATCCTATGAGATGGCTTTTGCCTAACCAGGGACTCCAAAGAAAGCATGTAAGCCTCTTGAAGAGTTAAGCTACCTGGAATGTAAAAATTTCCCTTCAATAGGCAGAAGACTTGGATTCCTAATATAAGGGCTCATAGAAACTCTAACATGTCAGAAAGTCGAAGATTTCCAAGTAGAAATTTAGAGAACAGTGCATGGCTCAGTGATAAGATATCATTCTCTGATCTTTCAATTAGAAAAATAACACCCATTTGCCCATCTCTCATGGTCCTTTACTTGCTTCACTTTCAGCATTTCCATCACAATTACTTATGTGTATTATTTATCTTCCTTTCTAGATTAAAAGCTGGTAGTCCCGTATCTGATTCATCATTGCCTTCTCCACAGTGCCTGGCACATTCCTGATACTCAATAAATATCAGCTGAAACAAGATGCATGTATTTGATGGATGGCAGGGACGAGGGAGAAGTATCGAAACAGTTGTACTCACACATGTTTAGTACTGCTTAACGTACTTGTTCAAAATATTTTGGCAGAATCATCTGATGAAACAATATTTAGCTATTAAACACAAAATGTGAAACAGTATTGAGGAATTTATGCAAATTGCACACAGGAAGGAAAAATGCAGAGTAATGCCATCATTTAATGCACCGAGCCAAAGCTCATATTTGCAGCAGGGACAACCTTGGCAGGACAAGGTTTCATCCAAACTGTTTGGTAATGACTTCTTCTGCAGAGAAGGCCCGAGTGGGCCGCCACTGACTCCCTCCCCCCTACTGGCATGCCCACTTTCACTAGAAACTCCTACCAGACAACTTCAGCACGCTCATGGGGTAAGTTTGAATGAATACGCCAAGCTGTATGTGTTTTACCAACTGTAATTCTGCTGAATGTCTAATTCAGCACACTTTACACAAGCAACGTACACATTTGAAAGGAAAAGCTCAGCAGAGTTCATATCATCTGGAGGAAGCGGGTAGGACAGGAGGTGAACAAGTTAATCTTAAAACCCCAAAGCAAAGTCCTTTCCATATCTTCACTGGTACCTGGCTGTAAAATGGATGGCTGCTGAATCACCAGCCCAGCATTTCCTATCATGTCAGTGTCATGCTGATAAAGATGAAAGCTAGTGTGTTGTTTGAGAGTTTGGAGAGGAAAGCCAGCTAGGAAATAAGGGCAGAAAGAGAATAAAGTGCATATGGGGGAGAGGGGGACTAAACTGTTTCAATTCCTAAGTCAAATGCTGACACGAACACAGGACTCCAGACAACCAAAAATTGACTTTTAAAAGCAGCTTAAGGCTTCCCTTGAATTTTCTCTGGCTTGAGAGTTCTTTCAGGAAGAAAAAAAAAGGGGGAAAGAAAGAAAGAAAGGATTTTGTGAAACTGATTTTTAAAAGCATCTGAAAGCTATCTAATGTTACTCTCTCTCTCCCTATATATATCAAATGAGTCCCCCAGCTTTAAGGATCTTAAAGCAAAATGAAGATCTGCAACAGCGTCCTGGCAGGAAAGAAAGAATCCTATTACATCACTAGGTAACATGAGCACCACCGCATCATCCTCCTTTGTCGTAGTCGGTCTCCTGTTAGAGACGCAATTGTCAGGCCCCTCGCAAAGGGCAGGCAGTGATTAGAATCCTACTACAGACTGCTTGCGATTCTCCAGATCCCCTGCTCCCGGGGGCATGCTTCAGTCCTGAGTCAGGCTCAAGTCTGCTTACCTTCAATCACAGTTCTCTTTTTTTCTGCCTCAAGGAAGAAATAACCTTGGCAGCCTGCATTTAGTCATTTAGGTTGAGGCGCTTTTACAGAAGGAGCGCCCCTGGCTCCCAGGCGCTTCAGAAGGGCACTTGCTGCGTTCTCCGCCTTTCACAGCAACAAACGCCACCTAAAGAGCCACCAGTGCTCCCCGGCGGTCAGAGTGTGATGTCACTGTTGGGATCACGTGACCAGACCCTTGGACCAGCCTTGGAGAAAGGAAGATTTTTAACCGAGCACGGAAGCCTTAAAGATGTAGTCTCATCTAAACCAATGCCATCAAACTTGGGGCAGTCAGGTCAGCTCAGAAAACTGGGGTCCAGACAAAGTTTTATCCTTCAGACCAATCATTTAGCAGAAAGTCCCAAATCATTTACAGTTACAAGGGTGTCCTAACTAAAAAAAAAAAAAAAAAAAAAAAAAAAAGGAGGGAGGCAACAGAGAAAAGGAGTTTTTAAAATGCACTGGGTAGATATAACATGAATAAAACCTTACAAACTCAATGCTGAGTGGAAGGTTCCAGAAGCAAGGAGCACATAACACTATCAGTCTATACCTGTAAGTTCAAAAACAGGCAAACCTAAAATATATCATTTTAGGATCCATTGATTACATTATAGAGAGAAGGAAGAATATGACAAAATGAAAGACTGGATTTACTCAGAGGAGAAGGTTGCCATCTGGGAGGAGCACATGGTGAGGGTAGGATTTTTGGAATTCTGGTCATTTTTCTTCATACAGGTAGTGGTCACCTGAGTGATTACTTTTAATTACCATTTAAAGTGTACACATGTTTCCTATCTTAGTTGCTATAGACGTATCATGATTAAAGAAAAATGTGAAGCTGGGAGCCATGGCACACTCCTGTAATCCCAGCAATTTGGGAGGCTGAGGCAGGAGGATCACAAGATGGAGACCAGCCTTGGTAACTTAGTGAGACTATGTCTCAAAATTAAAAATAAAATAAAATAAAATTATACAGGCTGGAGTTGTAGTTCAGTGGTAGAGTATCCCTGGGTTCAATCCCCAGTACTGCAAAAAGAAAAGAATAATGTGAAGTCAGGTGCAGTTTTATATATCTATAGTCCTAGCTACTCAAGAGGCTGGGGTAGGAGGATTGCTTTGAGCCCAGGAGTTGGAAGCCAGCCTGGACAGACCTCATTTCAAAATAAAAAGTATTTTGGGGATGGGGTTGCAGCTCAGTGGTAGAGTGTGTGCTCAGTGTGCATGAGGCCTTGGGTTCAATCTCCAACACTACAAAAAGGAAGAAATGATGGAAGGAAAAAAGAAAAACATGGATAAACTAAATTGCATAATTACTTACCATACAAGGTCAGTTCTTTAATAGCACCCAGACACTTTGAAACCTCAGAGTACAATCAATAAAATGAGTTATTTCTTAGTAGTAATACTCTCTTGTCGGGTGTGGTGAGGCACATATAATCCCAGAGACTCAGAAGGCTAAGGCAGGAGGATCACAAATTCAAGGCCAGCCTCAAGAAACTTAGTAAGACCATGTGTCAAAATAAAAGTAAGAATTAAAAGAACTTGGGATGTAGCTCAGTGGTAGAGCACTCCTGGGTTCATTCCTCATTACCACAAAAGGAGAAAAAAAAGTAGTAGTGCTTGCCCCAGAAAGCAACATTGACTTTGACACTCATTAATCTCACCTGGGTGAAAGCAGTTACAGCAGCCCTGACAATAAATTCAATACTATATTTCCATTGTTTTAAAGGCTTTCCCTTCCCTGGCCCTATTCAGAAGGCTATTTTTAAGCAGGTCTTAATTAATAGTGCAATAAGGCCAGTCCAGGAAAAGAATAAAATTGCCATCTTAAAACTCCTTAAGTGAATCAAGAGGACAGCCACTGTTAAACATTAACCCAGACACAGTGCGCTCCAATAATCAGACTGTACATGTAGGGCTCTGAAATGTTATTAGTTTCATCAGCTCTTAAGGTCCAATATGACCTGAAATGTTAACACAACAAAACCTTATAAAATGTGAGGCATTGAAGGAAATTTGTATGCTTTCAGTTCATCATAATTTTAACATTTCACTCTCTGGATGAACTAATATAGCATTAATGAGGAAAATTTACATTATTTGGCAATTTATATTAAGTGCCGATGAATTACAAACTGTAAAATAAATAAACAGTCATCTATGGCCCAAGTGTGACTGTCTTATACAATTAAAATTTCAGAAAACTAGGTATATTTTATTCAAAGAGGATTACATGCCCAACCTCATAAGCTCCTTCAAAGTCACTCTTTATTAAATAGGATTTTATCTGTAATATCTGAAGACCTCTGCAGAATCTACTCACATTATTTAATAAGAGTTATCTTGTTGGATTATTTCACATTTCAGCAGATACAGTACTAGCAACCAATGTAGCAAAAGAACTCTATTTTGGGGGTACTCAAAAATACATAGTTCTATAGATTATATAGCTGGGCCCACGTTAATACCTTTTACTGAAATTTCTGGTGTTTTTCAAATGTTCTATCAGTGACTCTAAGGAAAGGACTTTTTAAAAAATCTCATGTAAGGTTGTTTTCTTTAAGTAGGAGAAAGCTAGTAGGTATGATGCAGTGTTCATGCTAAAATGAGATTTACTTACACTTAGGAATAAGAAATGAAGCAGAAGTATTCAGAGTCTGACATGCTATATTTCTTTCATTTTTTTCTGTCTCCATTCCCTACTCTGCCAAATTTGTAATCTTTAACATATGTTCATTTTACAGACTGCTCAGTGTAGAACAATTGCTGTTTTTTATCTTTTGCAGTACTGGGGTTTGAACCCAGGAATGGTTATCTCCAGTCCTTTTTATTTTGAGACAAGGTCTCACTAAGTTGCAGAAGCTAGCCTCACATTTGTGATCCTCCTGCCTCAGCCTCCCGAGACACTGGAATTACAGGTATGTGTCACCATGCCTGGTGGACAATGGTTTTATTATGAAATTAAGACAAAATGTTTGCCAATTTTAATGCAGTTTATGACAAATACCCAAAAGTTAATATTTTGGGGCATGCAGACTTATCTTTTTGGAATGCAGATTTGAATAGATCATTTCCTGGTTTCTAAGTTGTTGGAGGCTCCTACAACAATGTCTTGAAAATATGTTCAGCAGCAGAACATTTAATGAGAATTTGGCACATGTGTGGACCAAGGATTTAAAAATATTCATAGTAATTTTTAGAGTAGGAAAACTAAATATTTTAAATGTATAATGATGATGATGATGATAATGACACTACTACTCTTTTAGGTTTCATCAATGAGAGAGATTAAATGGTTTGTTCTATTTAACCAAGGTGGTCGTGTCTGACTTTGTGGGTGGAGGGGTTTGAAACCAGGGGCTCTTCATCACTGTGCTACATCACCAGCCCCTTTTTTTAAATTTTGAGTTGGAGTTTTTTGTTTGTTTGCTTGGTTGGTTTTAGTACCAGGGAGTGAACTTAGGGGTGCTTAACCACTGAGAAACATTCCTAGACCTTTGCATATTTTATTTAGAGACAGTGTCTCACTAAGTTGCTGAGGTTGGCTTTGAACTCACAACCCTCCTGCATCAGCCTCCCCAGTTGCTGGGATTATACGCATCTGTGACTGTGTCTGGCCCATATGTGATTTGATTACAAATAACTTAAGCCATTAATCATATTCCACATCTGGTTGATTTCTTTTGTTAGCATTTTTAAAAATTTAATAGCAAGAATAACTTCATAAAACTTAGCAGTCAAGAATGGCAGCAAGGGGCTGGGGTTGTAGCTCAGTGGTAGAGCACTTGCCTACCACATGTGAAGCACTAGGTTCAATCATCAGCACCACATAAAAATAAATAAATAAAGGAATTATGTCCACCTACAACTACAAAAAATTTTTAAAACAATAAAATTTTTGAAAAAAAGAATGGCAGCAGGACCAAATAATGAGGTACAGACAAAGCAACAAAATGCAAAATGCTTTTCAAAATACAGTGTTTAAAGAGGTAAGCTTCTTGTATGTACATGTACTGGCAAGAAAAACAGAGTAAAATTAAACAATGAGCCTAAATGTCAGATTGGACTCCAGTTTCTCTTCAGATCACATAAATCTTTTCCTCTTTTACCCTCACATTGGGGTACTTAGGTGAGTCTAGATTTTTGCCTCTGATAGGAAAAAGAGTAAAACTTATGTCAAGTTTTGAAGGCACAGTGAATGTTATAAGTAAAATAGTTTAATGCTTTTACAGGAAAATAATTCAAGTTAAAGTACAATTAGATCTTAAATTGAATGATAGAAGAAAAGCCCCCTAAGGGCTAATTTGCCTTAGCTGAGTCCAGGGAAAGCATACAGTAAACTATTCAGAAAAGAGTCAATATTGAAACAGTCTTCCCCGTAGGTTATACTTAGGTTTAAAGACTTTTTAACAATGGGTCTTTAGAAGCACACTGCTTGAATGAGAAGGCATATAAATGAATGCATTTAACCTATTTCTTATTATGGAAACCACTTTCTAATTTTTTTTCTAAAAAGTCACCTGATGCTTAAGGCTAGAAACACTCCTTAAAATACATGAAAACAAATTCTGATTTGAGAATAATGTTTACTTCATTCCCTAACTAAGAAGCCATTAGAAATTTACCTGGGGGCTGAATAGTAACTGATTAAGTGAACTAGTTAAACACTAACAAAGACACAAGGAGAAAAAGTAGAAAAGGAAACCTCAGCATAGATCTTGAAGTACTGGCTTTAGTAAGATCACACTTGTTGGGAGGGCTTAATTGTTGACAATAGCCTAGAGAAAGAAATGAGCACTCAAAGAAATGGGGTTGAGGTATTGGTATGTGTCACAGGACTTCAAATGGTCCCTTTCAAAATGTATTTCAGTTTCCCAGGGATATATTGTATTTTTTCATGGCTGGAACAACGACCACATCAACAAAAAAAATCAACATGATGCCTAGCACACATCAGCAGATATCCATCCTGTGGTCATTTAAATTTTGCCTCCATATAACAGCAAACACTAAGAATCTATTATGTGTCACTTATCTCCTCCATACTGGCACACCCTACTTCCCATTCTTGGACTGCTTTGACCATTCTAAGATCTCCCAATAAGTCATAAGCTTTCACATTTCATTTCACCTACACATTTGAGAAAAGATTACAGC